GAGGCCAGGAATCTTGGTGGGAGTTAGCTTGACTTGAGTGTACCTTCTGTAGATCTCACTTATTTTGTCATGGCCTGATGAACTGGATGCTCCTTTTGGCGTAACACTGTTTGAGCCTGGTGCAGGATCCATTGTAAATGAATGTATTTGGTCAAATACACACAGAAACGGGTAAAACTGCTTGAAACCGAGCGAGTTTGGCGCGCGAGGGGAGACCGCACCGTCCACTACACGTGACAACAAAACAATGGGCCGGTCACGTGACCCAGTAGGCCGACGTGTGATGCGGCCTAGTTGAGAGAAAACGGAATTTCATGGCGCGCATTTTGAAACAAACCCCAAGTAAATCGGATTTAGGGTGGATTTTATACAGTTATTATTTATTAGAACGTAAAATTACGACTCTTGTGCGGAAGCGATAGAAATAAACACGTCGTACATTTACGACCTAGGAGCGTGAAAGTGTTTTATTAATTAAGAAGCAATGAATGTTATTTACATGCTTGTCCTCCTACACTAAGAAGGTTAGGTTAGGTTGGCGTTTTCTATACAGCTTTTTAGGTAAACTCCAATATTCACAATATTTTGGTGCGACACTGGCGATTAAGTGTGTTTATGTACTATGCCGATAGTCAGGAATGTACTCATTAAATTTAGTATTAAAATGTACTGCCTAAATGTACTGTAGGGAGCCGGTCGGCCGAGCGGACAGCACGCTGGACTTGTGATCCTGTGGTCACGGGTTCGATCACAGGCGCCGGCGAGAAACAATGGGCAGAGTTTCTTTCACCCTATGCCCCTGTTACCTAGCAGTAAAATAGGTACCTGGGTGTTAGTCAGCTGTCACGGGCTGCTTCCTGGGGGTGGAGGCCTGGTCGAGGACCGGGCCGCGGGGACACTTAAAAAAAAAAAGCCCCGAAATCATCTCAAGATAACCTATTCGGAGGATGGGCTGTGCTAAACTTATCTTGCAACCTAATATCATTGATAAACATATCTTACAACCAAACATCATTACTAAACATATCTTAAGTTCATAAATGCTAACCATGGATCATTAAGATCATGGATCATGGATCACCAATATAAGATCATTAAGATCTTATATTGGTGTATAATGTTAGTCATACTTATTTTGAATCATTCATTAAATTGTGCTGTGTCTTAATTTTTATCGAGATTTCACCGAGTTGACTTGCATTATCTTGCTCTGAACCCAAATGGCAAGGTCATTATTAGGAAAAAATGCAGTAAAGTATATAAATATATATATATATATATATATATATATATATATATATATATATATATATATATATATATATATATATATATATATATGTGCAGAATAACCACATGTGAAAAATAGAAAATGCTTAACGCGTTTGCGGCTAATTCGCCTTCATCAGAGGAAAGTAGAATGAAGATCTTCATCTTCATTCTACTTTGCTCTGATGAAGGCGAATTAGCCAAAAACGCGTTAAGCATTTTCTATTTTTCATATGTGGTTATTCTGCATACTTGGATCAGTGTTTTTGTGATCATTGTTGCATATATATATATATATATATATATATATATATATATATATATATATATATATATATATATATATATATATATATATATATATATATATATATATATTTTTATACCTAGAAGGGGTACCACCTCTGGTGCAAATGTAGGGACCCATGCAGTAAAAAATGCAGTAAAGTATGCAGGTATATATATATATATATATATATATATATATATATATATATATATATATATATATATATATATATATATATATATATATATTTCTCTTTCAGCGCCTCAGTGTCGCGATCCAGAGGGGAAATGCCCGCTGCATCCTCGGTTCCTGCCCGGCGTCGGAGGAGTTCGAGGAAATCTACAGCCTCTAGGAAGCGAACTTTTTCTTGTGTCCTCTTAATGTTCATTTTTTGTATAAAATCAGATATGTAACTGTATAACCTTGCATAATAAAGTGTACATCATAATAAAAAAAAAAAGGGGGTGGTAGGAGAAGTGAACACTCTTTCGTATTCAGAGTTAAATGTCAAGTTTTTCCCTGAGTGCTATATATGTATATATATATATATATATATATATATATATATATATATATATATATATATATATATATATACATATATATATATACATATATATATATATATATATATATATATATATAATAATATATACACTAGCTTTACCCAGTCATACATTGCTGTGGTTCAGCAATGCATGTGCGTTGCTGAGCCACAGCAACCTTACCCTGTCCCCCAGTCTTCCCCACCATTCCCCGTTCCCTCTTCCTCCCAACCATTCCACACACCCTCGTCCCCTAGTCCTTCCAACCAATCCCCACTTCCATATCACCTCGCCCTCCCCACCATCCCCCCCTCCTCCATCCCCATGTCTGCCCCACCATCCCCTTGTCCTCCCTACCATTCCCCACTCCCCTGTCCCCTCTCCCTCCCCACCATCCCCCACTCCCCTCTCGCCTTGTCCTCCCCACCAGTCTCCTTCCCTCGTCCCCAACTCCCCTGTCCCCTCATCCTCCCCACCATCCCCCAATCCCGTCCCCCTCGTCCTCCCCAATATTCCCCACTCTCTCGTCCAATGCATTTCCAAATGATCTGATGTTCCCATCAGAAAACTGGGAACATCAAATGATCTGATGTACCCATCATTAAAAAATAAGAAGAACAGTTAAATAAACGAAATGAAAAAAAAAATGAAAAAAATAACAAAATAAACTATACTCACGAAATGAACGGTATGGTAAACAACACATGTGAGTTTTCACATGAGGGAAATCTCTGAAACCTCTTCATCAATTTCTTTGAAATATTGACACAACGTTGTATTCAAATACATGCATGGTTTTTATATACCTACTATATACATGCCACACCTGTGACAGGCAAAAACATACTGTTTTTTAAAGATCCACACCATCTGTTGAACATAAGAGCAACACACTCTGTAATCTCCAGAAGTTCTTCACTGATTGCTTTGAAATTCTGACAGAATGTTCCATTCGAATTCGCGCGTGTTTTTATATACCTACTACATAGATGCCACACCTGTGACAAGTAAAAACATGCTTTTTTTAACAAATAACAGTGCAATCTGTAGCATGTAATATTAACACATGATATACAAGATATGTTACAATTCCATTTCAATGTTTCCGATTGCATTGATAAATTGAATTTTCATAGATTTCGATTTATTTTCATTTTGATTTAATTATTTTGTGTAACATTGCGTTGGAATTGAGATGTGTTGTATGCCATACTGTTCATTTCATGGGTATAAGTATAGATGCCGCACCTGTGACAGGTAAAAAACATGCTTTTTTGTAAAACAGCACCATCTGTTACATGTCAGAGCAACACACGCTATACTAAATATGTTACGATTTCATTTCAAATGTTTCATTTCATATTTCATTAAATATGTTACGATTTCATTTCAATGTTTCTGATTGCATTGATAAATTTAATTTTTATAGATTTCAATTTATTTTAATTTTTATTTAATTATTTGTGTGACATTGCGGTCTAATTGAGCTGTATTTTTACCATACTGATCATTTCGTGAGTATAGTTTATTTTTTTTTCATTGTTTTTCATTTCGCTTTTATAACTGTTCTTATTTTTCAGTGATGAGAACATCAGATCATTTGATGTTCCCAATTTTCTGAAGGAAACATCAGATCATTTTGGAATGAGAGAGTGGGGGATGGTGGGGATGGAGAGGGGATGGGGTAATGGTGGGGAGGATGAGGAGACGGGGGAGATGGGGATGGTGGGGACGAGGGGACAGGGCAATGGAGAATGGTGTGAAGGACAAGTGGGACTGTGGAGTGTGGGATGGTGGGGGAGGACAAGGGGATGGGGAGAGGGGAATAGTGGGGAGGACGAGGGGACGAGGGAGTGGGGAAAGGTTGGGAAGACGAGGGGACGGGGGAGTGGGAAATGGTTGGGAGTACGTAGGGATGGGGGAGGGGTGAACGGTGGGGAGGAATGGGGGGCAGGGGAAGGTTGCTCTGGCTCAGCCACACAGATTTGTTGCTGAGCCACAGCAACACGTGGCTGGGTACAGCTAGTGTGTATATATATATATATTTGTATATTTTGGTAGCAGTCTTTCTTGCAAACATATGTTGTTGAATATGACCGATAGGATAAGTAATATTATTTTAATACGAATCTTCTCAATATTTCTTACGTTCTTCTTCAATGTCGAGGGTAATTCATAAAGTAACTCTCCAAAATTCATTCTTTTTATTCCTGGTCTGACTCCTGAATGCGTTTCGTAATTCCTTATTACATTTTCAAAGACTTACTTTATACACAAAATACATTCATACTTATACTCGTTTTGGGTGAGGTGATATGGCACAAAAGTTTCGGGTGAGGTGAAACAGAAGACAGAACACTAAACAATGGGTATGAGAACATAAGAATGGAAGTAACTGCAGAAGACCTATTGGCCCATACTTCCTCATGCGGCTTCCATATTGGTTCAGGGTCTTGAAGTGGGTAGAATATAGTCGTGCATTAATTCGCTGATTAATGCACAGCCAATTAATGTTACAAGCAGAAACTGCTATATAGCTAACATGAAGGACTCACCAGCAGAAATATTATAAATATTTTTAAATTTCCATCATTGAGCTTGTATAGTAGACACCAGCTTTATTTATATGCGGGTTACATTAAGCTATGACTGGTTTGGAGGTGTAGCAGGAAGCGGTGTTCTTAGGAAGATTGGCGTTCTTAAATGCCTTCCTGAATCTCGACGTTACCGCTACGATGATGGTAAGAAGGAAAACTTTCCTAAGTACTTGTGTAACTGCTTCGTAAATCTGGCCCCTGCTCTCAGTGGTAAATTCGGTCATTGGAAATTCAATGCTCACAATATATGAATTAATAAGACAATTTTCTACATGTGAAATATTTTATCTTTATATTTAGAAATTCAGTCAACTGGCGGCGCCGTGGGGAGTGTCAGTGTTCGAGGTGTCAGAGGACGGTCAGGACGCTAACTTGACGCTGACGAAGCTTTCTCAGGTGGTCGGCATGGCTCGGCGGGTAGGTCACTCTCACATTACTTCTGAGGCTGGTAGGTCACTCTCACGGCACTACTGAGGCGGGTAGGTCACTCTCACATTACTTCTGAGGCGGGTAGGTCACTCTCACATCACTACTGAGGCGGGTAGGTCACTCTCACATTAATTCTGAAGCGGGTAGGTCACTCTCACATCACTACTGAGGAGCGTAGGTCACTCTCACATTACTTCTGAGGCGGGTAGGTCACTCTCTCATTACTACTGAGGAGCGTAGGTCACTCTCACATTACTTCTGAGGCGGGTAGGTCACTCTCACATTACTTCTGAGGCGGGTAGGTCACTCTCACATCACTACTGAGGAGCGTAGGTCACTCTCTCATTACTTCTGAGGCGGGTAGGTCACTCTCTCATTACTACTGAGGCGGGTAGGTCACTCTCACATCAGTACTGAGGCGGGTAGGTCACTCTCACATCACTACTGAGGCGAGTAGGTCACTCTCACATCATTACTGAGGCCGGTAGGTCACTCTCACATCACTACTGAGGCGGGTAGGTCACTCTCATATCACTACTGAGGCGGGTAAGTCACTCTCACATCACTACTGAGGCGGGTAGGTCACTCTCACATCACTACTGAGGCGGGTAGGTAACTCTTACATTACTGCTGATGCTGGAAGGCCACTTATACTACTATTGAGGGGGATATGTCACTCTCACATCACTAATGAGGCGGGAAGGTCACTCACATCACAACTGAGGCGGGAAGGTCTCTCACATCACTATTGGTCACTCACATCACAACTGAGGCGGGAAGGTCTCTCACATCACTATTAAAGTGGGTAAGTCACTCTCACATCACTATTAAAGTGGGTAAGTCACTCTCACATCACTACCGAAGCGTTTAAAAAATATCCACTTATACTAGTTAGAGTATAGCATATATTAGTTATTCATGCCTATACGTGTATTATAGAACAAAGCACATGGTCAATATCAGGCTATTTCTAGATCCAAGCCAAGAGTCCCAAGAACAGAGAGAGTAGTAGAGTCAGCAAAATTCCTCCATGACATGATCCCCCCCCCCCCCCGCTAGTATAGTTAGTATAGGGGTTAGTATAGTTCCTATCAGATTACTTAAATAAATAAAATTGCCATATAAACAATATTGTATCAGTGTAAAGTAAATAATATTGTAGATAACTGATTAACCAGATCAACTTGGTAAACTCGAGTCGATATCGAATGCTTTAACAGAGCGGGCAACTGAGCCTGCCCTGTGTAGCTAGTGGGTGGCAAACCACGTCAACTGCCGCGTCAACCAGTAGTGTCTCAGGTGTAATATCATCAAGACTACACCACTAGCTGAAAGGGAGTTTTGATAGGAAGGTCGGCCATCTTGGCGCACGGACTGAGCGCTCTTCGCTGGGCTTTCTTTCTTCACTTTATCGGGAGCTCATGTTTGAAATAGGCTTGCTTCTTTGGGCCAGTGTGTGCTCACTACAGTTACCCAGGGGCTCCCAGCATCGGGGAGGGGGGGGGGGGGGGGAGGCCGGAGCCTCCCTAATGGACCACTCCCTGAGCGGGGGCACCATGGACGTTTACAGCATGTCCCTGAGAGGCATATGTCTGTTGGAGAATGAGCCGGCTGAAGCTGCTCCAGAGCGAAATGCCAGGAGGATGTCTTCGCCTTCAGAAGACCTTCCTCCTGTGGTACCTCATTCCTCATTTGTGGTTGTCCTAATTCAGTCAACAACAGGTCAGTGTGTGTTTGCGAATCCTCATACCTTAAGTGCAACAACTGAGGCTTCGGTGTTGTGGCCACATTGCCTGCCTGAGACCGTGCATACCCTGGGTAGGGGTGCAGTAGTGAAGCTACATATTAGGTAGGAGGCTCTGTTGCACGTCTGGCTATCCGACATTTACAAGTTGGGGGACTGGCCTGTCAGGAGCCGACAGATACTGTCGCAGGAGGAGGAGTCTAGGCCAGGTACGTTAATATTGGCCAAATTACCGGAGTGTTGAAGTGGATGACATCGAGGCCGCTCTGCAGGTGTTAAGAGGGGGCATCAGCGGGATTACTGGAAGCTACCAGGATTCGCGGAGCAGCGGGTCCGACGTCCATGGTCCATGTAAAGTTCGACGGGCCCGTCCCTGACTGGGTGGCACTATACATGACCTCGTATAAGGTCCAGTCTTACAACTTTCCTGTGTTAAGATGTTATGCTTGCCATCTTTTGGGCCACAGTCGCTTCACCTGCCGTAATACAACACTCTGTGCAAACTGCAGCCAGACAGATCATACAGATAGAGATAATGGTGTGCTCTGCCACACCTCGCTGCCTTTTATGCCATGGCCATCACAAGGTTATGTCCAAGGTTTAGCCCAGTATATCTTGAGGTCCTTCACTTGGACATCGAACATAACGCAGTGAGGACCCCTCGACAAGAGCTGTTCCAGAGGTTGCGTGCCCTCAATTGTTTCTTCTCGCCTGCTGGTTCTCCCTGGTAGGGACTCTTCACAAGTAGGGTCTAGCAGACGCCCTTGTCTGTCTCGGCCACATGTCTCATACACCCAGGCTGCTAATCGATTTTCCCTCCTGGATCGCCTCGACATGAATGAAAACTCCACCATGGATACAGATATGGACGCTCAGTTTCGGCTGGATCCCAACATTCCTGCCTCTTCCCAGAGAAGCCAGCACCGACGTCGTCGAGACATCCGTCGATCAGGAGGTTCTGCTCCACCGGATAGCCCTGATGATCCTCTCGTTTTCTAGGTGCTTTCCCAGAGGATTGTGACACCAGTGGAACATGAGGCCCAGAGTAAAGCACCTCACCAGTCGCAGGCGCCGTCATGAGGGTTCGCAAAACCGATCACCGCTTCCATCAGGCAGAGAGAAACATTGTTCAACAGCCTTTGGACTGGCTGTCATTGATACCACATATATTACTTACTTTGTATGAAGGCTTTATGGCTTTTTCTGGTGGGTCCTTTTTCGGAGACGTCTGTGCACAGGTGGTCAGAAAGTTAGCTGCTGTATTTCAGGGATAATGGCGCCCCATAATGAGAATACTGTGGTATTTTGGAATGCCAGTTCCCTTTTTAAGAAGACACAGTTCCTATGCAATTTTATTATCAGCGCACCACCATTGATCGTGGGACTCTGTGAAACTTGGCTTATTGATGATCTTTCCTTCATGGTGCCGGGTATTCGGTCTATAGACAGGATTGGCCGGTACAGGTTGGAGGGGGGCCCTCTTTCTGGGCAGACATTTGGAGTTCATGGCAATGAAGGTGGCCATCTTCTATGGCTGGGGCACCCTCTGAAGTTCTGTATAATCCTTGTCTACCTGTAACTGCAAAGGAACTAGAACACTATTTTGGTCAGTTCACAGACACCAGCCTTGTCATGGGTGACTTTAACACTCGGCACTCATCATGGCAACTTATGCTATTGAGTCGCAACCACAACACGGCTGGCTGAGCCCTGCTTCAGTTTCTACTTGATTCCCGAGACTTCTCCTTACTGACGCCGCAAGGTTTGGAAACCCGGATAGACCCGCTCAATGGGCATACTTCAACACTCGATCTCTCCATTGGAAGAGGCCCTTTTACGATGGCGCAGATATGGACCGAACCATACCTGGGTATCACCTGCGCATCGCCATTGCCTTTGAGGATACTGTTCGTCCTGCTCTGACTACCCGAAGATCTAAGTGGATTGTTATGACCCTGGGTTCCTCAGTGGAAACCAGAGGTCAAAAGTGAGCTATTAAACTTTCTTATAGTACAGTTGAGCGCATCACGAGTGGCAATTGTTTATATCTTCCCTGCCAGACGTAAGACTATTCTTGTTTCTCAAAGAGCATTTAAAGATTGAGCTGGGGGTTGATTATTAAATAATAACATAGGCACCAACTATGTTTACTAATACTTTAATCATTTGTAAAGTAACAATACGTTGCATAGGGGAAGATCTTTAATGTGCTTAGCTGCACGATCAATTAGGCTCCTTCCGGCACCACGACATGCGGGAGGCCTAGCTGGTCGCTAGGAGCCTTCTTCTTCTGGCTGGCATTCGTGGGGACGAGACCTACTCTATGGCTGCACCCCTACTCTACTCCCTTCTTCTCTTACTTATTTCCCTTACCTGAAGTTCCTGTACCATTAAGTTAAGTACGGGGCGTTTTTAAGTGTACCTACTCTGGTAGTAAATATTGGTGAGACCTGGGGGTAGTATTTGCCAGTGTTTTGGGTACCCCCTAAGTGTTGTGTTTTGTATTAGGGTCCCACGTGGGTTCATTATTCTAAGCTGCATCCAGCTTCAGTGCTCATCCAATAGTACTTTACCCTAGCTTTTTCTCTGTGTAAACCTTGTATCCTGCCTACGTGGACCAAGGCTTTAACGTAAGATAGGGTGGTAAAGTAATTATTATTATTGTTATTGGTGTGAGTGTGTATGGGGGGTTGTTAAGGGGTTAATAAATAAGTACCTTAGAACAGAGTATCCCTTCTTCCTGTGTGGGAGTGTATTGATCAACCCTTAGACTGATATGGTCTAGTAGCAAGTATTATTACTGTGGATAATTTATTTTCGGGGCCGGGCCTTTTAACTCTCCCCTATTTGATAACTCTGTTTTCTAACTACCCTTACCCTTAATAGTACCAATTCCCCATAGTAAGCCACCATTTATTGTTATAACAAGGATCTTCTTGGAGGAGGGGTGGCTTGGCTATGAGGTGGATGACTGGTCGACCATTCCCTCAGTTACAGCAGATCTGAATGGATCAGCGGATGCTCTCTCCGAGTCCCTCTTCAGTTTAGGTTCTCGGCATTTCAAGAGGACTAGTTACCAGACCACTAGTCCTTCCCACCGTGGAGCACCGTGGTGGACTCCTAAATGACGGCTGGCAGTGCTGAACTGGCAACGTACATGGAATTCGTGGCGACCCCATCCTACCCCATTGCAGTGGTAGACCTTCCGTAATGCGGACGCCAAGTGTAGGCGGGCGGTCCTCCTTGCCAAACGCAAGGCCTGGGTTGATATTGTGCCTCTCTCCGATTTGGCTCCTCCTTGGTGGGATCCTGGGCTTTTGTTCGCAAATGACAGGGAGGTACTCCCGACCTTCCTTCCCACTCAGAAACCTCAGTGGTAATGGGAGCCTGAAGGAAGTACAAATAGCCGAGCTTTTGGCTGACCACTTTGAGGATGTTTACCGTTCCCACCTCTTTCTGTGGGTTCCATATGTTGGGGCTCCCAACAGGATATAGGACTTGCTCAGGACCTGGATCGTCCATTTACATCTGTTGAGCTTGAGGAGGCCCTGTCATTCTCTAGGCCAGGCACTATGCCAGGGATAGACAGCATTCCATATGAATTTGTTCGGAGAGCGCCCAGTCTGTTTCAGTCCCACCGCCTTCACTTCTACAATGCCTGCTGGTCCTCTGGTGTCTTCTCTGACCCATGGAAACACGCATTCTTTTACCATTGGCCAAGTCAGGGAAGGATCTGTCTGTCCCAAGTTCATATCGGCCCATAAGTCTGCTTCACTGTCTCGGGAAATTGATGGAACGCCTTGTTCACACCCGGCTACAATGGGTGGTGAAAACTCAGGTCTCCTACCTGAGGGTATTAGTGGATTTCGGCCTGGAAGAAGCACGATGGACTGTCTCCTCTCCTTGGAACATTGAATAATTGACATCGCCGGAGAAGAGTGCTCCTTGTAGCATTCTACAACATCAAGAGTGCATTTGACTCTGCGACTCATTCTGCTGACCTTCAGAGCATGACTCAACTAGGTCTCTCGGGTCCAGCACTGGGGTTGTTCCAAAACTATCTACAGGACCGCTCATTAAAATTGGCAGTTGGTGGAGTTGTCTCCACGTCCCGCCCTGTCTCACGTGGTGTCCCCCAGGGAGCAATTCTCAGCCCACTATTATTCTCTATTCTTTTGTCTGATCTCCTGGTATTCTGCGGTGCCCAGGTTTTAGCCTATGCCGATGACATAACCCTCGTGGCAGATGGTGTGATTCTCCTGGAGGCACAAGGCTCCCTGCAAGATGCCGTGACTGTGTTTTCTGCAATTGTGCTGGGGAAGGGGATTTCCATTAACCTGGGGAAAAGTTACATCATGAGCTTCTCCTGGATCCGTTTGCCAGACCAGCCAGTGGTGATCATCCAGGGCCATCGTCTCCCAGTTGCCATGGAACATAGGTGGCTGGGGGTTGTTCTTGATGACCCTCAGCTGACGTGGAGGCATCATGTCGATTACCTTCAGGCCTCATGCCTTCATTGCGTGAACATCATGAAACGGCTCTCTAGGGTGGCATGGAGGGCTTCGTGGGAGTCGCTCCTAACCCTCTATAAGGCCTTCATTTGTAGCAAGATCATGTATGCAAGTGGTCTATGGCTAAGCAGCAGCATCCGTCTTGGCAAGGCTGGATCCCATCCAAAATAGTGCCTTCGCTCAGCACTAGGGACTATGCCCTCCTCGTCAGTTCTCTCTCTCCATGCCGAATTGCAGTTATGACCCCTGCACTTTGAACGTCTTCTCGCCCTCTGTCACTGGCTTCAATGGATAGTGCGTCTCCCTGCTACCCATCCACTTACTCGCCTGCAGCTCGAGGCTAACTGGTGGAATGTGCCGGCTGGACACTCCAGACGCCGTCAGCTGCCTTTGGTCGTCTGGGCCTTGGATGCATGCTTCCAGCTTTCCCTTCCCGTCTTTGTACTCACCCCTGCCCCGATCATCTCTCCTGTACCTCCGTGGGTAGAGGAGCTCATCTGGGTTTCTGTTGACTTTTCCAATCCTCCTCGTCGGAAGTGGAATTTCGAGGATCTGGCCCCCTTCAATTTTTGCAGATCTACGAGCCTCCTTATAGATACTTTGTGGGTTAAACGGATGGGTCCCGTAAAGATCAGACGGTTTGTGATACATTTTTATTTTGTCACGGATCTTTGCTAAGATGTTTTGTGCCATTAATCGTTTGTTTCAGAACTTCGGTGATAATGTCATACAAACCAGCAGGTTTAAGGTGCAAACTTGGCACTAATAATTAAAATTGCGAAGTTAATTGACATTTAAATGATATACTGCAATGGTTTAAATATATTGCAATGGTCACTTTGCAATAAATGAATTCACATCAGTAATAATTGAAGTAACTATTACAATTTAATAATATTAATATTTAAACCATAGACTAGGTCAGACATAAAATAAATATATATACCAATGTTGCTGCAATAGATTAATGTTTAATCATTTTATAAGAAAGTACAATTCAGTCTACCAGCAGGCAATCATCCAGGCGGGGCCCCTGTCTTTATATCAACCAGAAGTCTCTCAGGCAGAGGGATAACGCGAACTACAACACACATACAGCAGCTAAGCTATTCCTTTGTTTTTGTAGTTTAGTTTACTTTTAATTACTCCTTCTCCTTATAGTACTAATATTTGTGGGAGGTTTACAAAACTAAATTTGACATGACGGGTAGGTCACTTTCACATCACTACTAAGAAGGGAAAGTCACCCTCATCACTACTGAGGCGGGAAGGTCACTCACATCACCACTGAGGCGGGTAGTGTCACACTCACATCACTACTGAGGCGGGTAGGTCACTCTCACATCACTACTGAGGCGGGTAGGTCACTCTCACATCACTACTGAGGCGGGTAGGTCACTCTCACATCACTACTGAGGCGGGTAGGTCACTCTCACATCACTACTGAGGCGGGTAGGTCACTCTCACATCACTACTGAGGCGGGTAGGTCACTCTCACATAACGTCTACCATGTTGACGTCAACAGGTGCGGCAGGTGTCATGGTGCGCGACGGTGGTGGTGGTGAGCGACGACCTCGCCTTCCTCGCCACCTTCGCCCAGTGGTCCCTCAAGGGCCGCCTCCTGGTGTGGTCGACGAGGCTCCTGGTCGTCACCCGCCTCCCGCTCCACCACCTGCAGGTCCTTGTGAGCTCTCACTGGACCTTCTCCATGATGAATGCAATGCTGCTTGTCTTGGATGAATGGTCACGGATCCCTAGGTAAACCAGAATTGATTCAATTTAACTCAAAATCATTCACAACACTACTGAGGCGGGTAAGTCACTCACCTCACTACAATGTGAAAGATTACATTTTTTCCAGAGAACTCTCGCAGGATCGATATTTTTAAGTCATTTGTGGGGAAACTGACTCATGGGATTTATTGAATTATTTATAATGAATTAATTTATATAAATTTATATAGTGAATAATTTCTTAGGTTAATTTATATATTTCGATCGCGTACTGTATGATGTTTATAGTTGACTATACGAGTTAATTCCCACAAATCGTTTCCTACACATTCTCAGGGTGTTTATTCAATTATTTATATTGGGAATAATTCTGGGGAAGCCTTATCTGTACTGTAGCTTTGGCCTGGACAACCAGTTATTATCATGAAAGAACATGCCGACCGATACTCCGTATGGGCGAGACTGGTTTCATCACATGATACTGGTTGTGCTAGGTAGTTAGTGCTAATTCTTATTCCCCTTCAATTTCACCTGTCAAAGGGCACAAACAATAATAATCGTAACCTATATATTACAGCTATATCAGGGAAAATATGGTAATTTATTGGATAAGATTTAAGTAATATTTACCCTGTTGGGTTGCTCTCCATGCGTTCTCACCGGTTTATCTTAATCTACCTAACATTACTGGTCAGGAATGAATAAGATAACGGGTTTCGGATTCAGGACACTTCCCTGATTGTAGATGAAGATCGTCCTGATAATGGGAGCTCTTTACATCCCATAACACTATGTCTAGAGGAAATAATTGTGGAGCTCCATGCGAGACTTATCGTTACGTTAAAATTTAATATGGCATCAGCTGGCCTCCCTCCCACTAATGCATCAGCTGTTCCACAGATGAGTTTTATCAAGACGTGGAAAGAGTGCCCACATTTACTCTATTTTAGTACTGATAATCAAGTTGGTTCAAGGAAAATGTTCTTAAAATTTTTACAATCCAGAGACTGATGTATTAAACAAATTCCCATTATTATAGCTGGAGAATTTAAAGGCGACATATGGCAATGATATCTCCGTTTTCTTCTGGAGAAATTTTCACTGGACTCTCGTTTTCTTTGAGTTAATTTGTTAGTAAAAAACAGCAGCAATATTATCTGCCTATTGTATTAAATGTCAGTAAATGGTGTCGGTTTTTCCGACATAATTGATATACATTGTTTTCCGCCTCCTAGGTTTTGGACTGTTGATTTGCCCGTTATTTACCTGCAATAATCAATTCCAAATTTTGTTTTAAAGAAACAAACAACTGTTTCTTGCTCATAACATCTGTCATTTTTCAACCTCAATTTTCAAGAGTTGTTGTATAAGTAGTGCTAAATAATGGATTTAAAATCGGGATTATATTATTTCTTAACAATAACATTAAGATCTGAACTATATTAAACACAATAACTAAGTTCTAATTATACAAAGAAATATAATAATCTTATTAATACTATTCATTGATATTTCTAATTTCTGACCTGGAGGACTTTTTTTTATTATTTTTTATATGCAAGAGATCTTACATGATTGAACAGCAACTAACACATAGCATTTCAGGCAAGTCCTTAATTCTAATTCGCCCCCGAATACGACCAGCCAAATCGTTTAACAACCAGGTACCCATTCTCTGCTCGGTTGAACAGAGGTTAAGGATAAGCACCAAGTAAATCCTTCCCAGTCAGGATACAAACACAGGCCAAAGCACTTGTGAAACGCCAGGCGAATGTGTTACCACTTCGCCACGGGGACTGCCAATGTGTATTGAAATTGAAATAAGTTTATTGAGGTAAAATACACACAAAGGGATGAGGTAGCTCAAGCTATTCTCACCCTGTTCAGTACATCGTGTTAATACATACATAGACACACATCACAACCAATAAACATATTACCGAACATTCTGAGAGATAAACATATACATTTCCTCCTTTACACAAGTAGTATGGTATCAGACGTACTCACAAATACTTTTATGACTTATGTATAATGTATAGACAATTTGCACGAGACATGCAGATGATTCAACAAAAGATTACAGTCTTGGTGCAAAATTCTTATATCTCTCCAGAATATCATCAACCTTTCCGTTGTGACACATCCAGGCTATTTGTTCAGGAACAGTCTTATCTCAGTGTTTCTATATACATTAATCAACGGACAATCAAGAACATAATGGGCAAGGATGTGAGACCTTAACATACCACATAGTTTAAACTTCGTGTCATTATGTGTGTGTATTATATAGATAGGTTAGTGAAACTACACAAGCAGCTACTTAACTACAAAAAAGCTTCTATCCATGTTGATGACCGAACGACACATCAGAAGATGGAAAAACTACGACGTTTCGGTCCGTCATGGACCAATATAAAATCGTATGATAATGACGACTTGATAATGGGCCAGATAGGACCGAGATTCGCTGCCTAGCCGTCAGGGGAAGGGGGGGGGGGGTAGGCAGTCACAGCACCTGCGTTCCTCAGTTGTTGCGTGTGTGAGGGTCGCCGTTTGTGGTGTGGTGCGCCAGCTAGCCGGTGGGGCAGCAGGAGTTATGGCGTCGTTTGGGTCCCCTATCCAGCGGATTGACTCTGCCAACCTGCTCTCCCACAAAACAGAACATATATGACTCATTGCTTAAGTCACTATTTTTCTTATAAATAAGTATGTATGTGACATATTCCAAGTCATATTTTTTTTAAGGCACTAACTTTTTCTTTCAGTTTTATTAAACAATAGAAATTTTATATAAAATTTGACACTATCCTGAGTTACTTTACAATTTATTTAAATATTTTAGTTTTGTTATATTATTTTAATAAAACTGTAATTTCAGTATAGGTATAGGTTCAGTACTAATTGTAATATCTTAACATACTAAGGTTAGGTTAGGTTGTGGTTTTCTATTCAGCTTTTCTAGGTAAACTCAAATATTCACAATAAATTAGTATGTCACATATGCACTTATTCATAAGCAAAATATTGACTATAAGCAAGTTTGAGAATGGGTTGACTCTGCAGGACTGGAGTTCTCTGCGCCTGCAGATTCGGCAGTTGTGAAGGTGGTGCTCCTGGACGTCTTTCAAGTGGACATTAAGAATCTTTATGGACTGGAGAAGGTGTCGGATCGTCGTGTGGTGGTGACGTTTGCTTTATCTGATTCGTACCAGCATTTCGTACATAGCTTTGATGGCCGTTCTCTCCAGCTGCCTCATTCTGCTGGTACTGTTATGGTTTCGGATCGGTGTATGCCGCCGAAGTTTGTGAGTGTCCACGGGGTTCCCTTAGAGTTTCTTGAATCTATACAGCGTGCCTGCTTTGCAAGGTTTCGTACTGTTTTTTTCCCATCGTGTTAATTGTTTACGCTCTGGGCGTTTGGAGGGTTTGCATCTTGGCATTCGGACGCTTGCCATGCGTTTAAATCGTGCTATTCCATCTCGAGTTCACTTCTTTGGCTTCACAATAAGGGTCTTTTACTCAAGCCAACCACATACATGTTTCCGGTGTGGGGAAGGTCACTACGTGGCTGGGTGCCATGCTGCTGCGGCTGAGGGGCCTTCCATTTTTCAAGAGAGTGATCCCCCCCCCCTCATTTGTGTCAGTGAGGTTGAGCCTGAGGTCCTGGGACCTGCTGATGTGAGCTGTGCCATCCTCCAGTCGGCTGAACCAGATGTCTTTCCTGTTCCTGCTCAGCCTGACCTACCAGTTCGGCCTGCGGATCTTGAGGTGCCTGTTGCGGGTGTTGTGACGATAGTCAATGCAGACGTGCATCCGGCTCCAAGTGCTTCTGCCGTTGTGGTGGATGCTCCGGTGGCAGTGGTGCAAGGACCTGTAGTTGGGAGCGGTGTGCTTTCGCCTGATACGTGTGTTGGTGGTCCCGTGCCTGGTGTCGACGCGGCCGGTGGGGCTCCTGCTGCCCGGGGTGTGTTGCGTCCTTCTGAGGGTGCAGGGGGGCCTTTCCCCCTTGGCGGCTCAGGCGTCCCCGGTTCTAGAAGCAAAGGTCCTTCTGGGAAGAGGGTGGAGGCTTTACCAGGGGTGGCTTTGGTTGGGCGCACTCCCCCCCCCCCCCCCTTCCCCCTGCTGTCGTCGTGGAACCTAGTGGTGGCATGGTGGGCTGTCGGGACGTGGTTTCCCCGCTGGATGTGGATGCGGATGCGAGCTGAGAGATGGTGGCTGGAGTAGTGTTGGAGGAAGAAGGTATGGCTGTCTCTATGATGCTACGGAAGACGTCTGGGGCCTCCGTCTCTACGGGGCTGTCCTCTGTGGGGCGGCGGGTCAGTAGCCAGTGTATTGCTGCTGCCACTCCTGTGGTGAGTTCGTGTGCGCCACCGGTGCGGCCTGAGGGGTTAGGGAGGCTTGATTGTTTCTTCCGTTGGCGCCCTCTCTTACATGTGCATCCCTGAATGTGCGTGGTTTGCATGATTTTGCTGTACAGTTGGGTCTGGTGGATATACTTCGTGAGCAGCGTGTGGATGTGGCTTTTATTCAGGAGCATAATGTTAAGGATGTGACTGTTTTACATCGCCTGTGTAAGGATTTTCATATAATGCTTATCCCGCTGAGGATGTCCTTTGGAGGTACGTTGATGCTTTTTTCTCGGAGGGTGTCCATCTCCGTGCTTCACACAGAGATGGATGAGAATGGACGGGTGCTGTTTGCTCGGGTTTGCTCGGGGTGGTGATTCCTGATTGACTGGTGATTGACTGTCTACGCTCCCTCGGGGGTAGCGCGTCATCAGGAGAGGAATGATTTTTTCAATGGGGGGCTTCTGCATTTTTTTCGCCATGATATGCGGGATATGATTTTTGGTGGGGATATTAATTGCATCACCCATGTGCGGGATTGCAATAGTGCCTGGCTGCAAAATATTTCTGGGGCATTGGTCGAGACTCTGCGGAATTGCAGGTTCTGTGATGCTGCCGTTGTGTGGTGGTGCGTTGGAGTATTACCTTTGCTGCGCTTGGGGCGTGTTCTAGGCTTGATCAGTTTTATGTTCATAGGAGGGAGGGTTCTGCACTGTTCCGGTGGCTTTTTCTGATCATTGTTTGGTGGTGGTCCGAGTTGGTGTTTTAAGTCAGGTGAGGGTGGGTAAGGGGTGATGGAAGTTGAATTGTAGACTGCTGCGTTGTCCATGGGTATGTTTTCAGTTTCGGGAGTGATGGGTCTGGGTTGTTGCCCAGCAGTGTACCTGTTCTTCTCTTTTAGATTGGTGGGAATGGTGCAAGATGCAGCGTCGGCATTTCTTTGGCAAAGTTGCAAAGAGGGAGGAGGCGGGGAGGTTTGGGTTGCTGCGGTTGCTTCAGGCACGGCTGTCTCGATTGTATGTGCGGCTGAATGCAGTGATTGATTGTTTTGCAGATATTTCTGTGTGCAAGGAGCGAATTTGTGGGCTGCGGGACGAGTTGGCAGACGGGGTTCGGGTGCGGGAGTGGGTGGAAAGGGGACGGCTTTCTCCCTTTCTTTTGCGGAAGGAGAAAGCTGTTCAGGACTGTGTCCTTTATAAGGGACTTCATCGTCCTGACGGTTCCGTATTATCAAACACGGATGGGGTCCTGATGTACTTGCGGCAGGAGTTGGAGGAGTTGTATGGGGAGGTGCAAGTGGATGAGGAGCTAGCCGCTTCTATTTTGCGGGGTAGCACGCCAGGGTTGTTGGGTGCGGATTGTTCTGCATTAGTGAGGGACGTCTCGATGTTGGAGCTTTTGGGTGTGGTCCGATCCTTTTGGTCTGGGAGGGTGCCCGGTTCGGATGGCCTTCCTGTGAAGTTTTATATTACTTTTTGAGATGTGCTTGGGGAGGTTTTCTTAGAGGTGGTGAGGGCTTGTTTCTGGGGGTGCGTCCTGCCCGCATCGCAGTATGATGAGTGGCATTCTCAACTCAATCAACAAGAAACATGAATATGAAAAGAAAGGTAGGATTGGCCTAGTTTCAAAGGAAGTAGCTAAAAGGTACTCATCAATGCTTACCAGTATCATAAGAAAGGCAAAACTTGCATATTATGTGAACAGATTCAATGAAGCAAAAGGCAACATGAAAAGCACTTGGAAAACTATCTCTAGTATCCTAGGAACTAAACAACACTCACATAACCAAATAAAACTCTACAAGCATGGGGATATACCGTCAACTGATTTAGAAATGGCAAATGAATTTAATAGTTTCTTTTCATCGGTTGGTGCTAATCTTGCCAGTAAAATCCCACAGACTCAGACACATATTAACACATATCTCTCAGGCAGCTATCCAAACTCTCTTCTCCTTTCACCAATCAGCCCGGCAGATGTTGTGTCCATCATACATTCTCTAAAAACCAAGGCAGGGAACACCAGTGAAATTCCGTCCATTGTGTACAAGAGAGCCTCCCATGCCCTTGCCCCACCCATAGCACTACTGTTCAACAAATCTATAGAGTATCACACCTTCCCTGATATCCTCAAAAAAGCAAGAGTAACGCCAGTCCATAAAGGAGGCAATCCGGCGGATATAAACAATTATAGACCAATATCAAATCTACCCATTCTATCAAAAATATTTGAAAAAATTATTTACAAACAGCTCTATTCCTACCTCGTAAAATTCGACATACTCAGCCCCTGCCAGTTTGGCTTCCGGTCCCAAAAGAGCACCAACGATGCAATCATTAGTCTCCTTGACGTAATCTACTCAGCCCTTGACAAAAATGAGTTTCCGATTGGACTCTTCATTGACCTAAGAAAGGCCTTTGATACTGTTAATCACAACTACCTCTTACTTAAACTCCAGCATTATGGAATCCGAGGCCTTGCCCTTGACTACATCCGATCCTATCTTAGTGACAGACACCAATATGTAACCATCAATGATACAACTTCTTCCACTCTACCAATTACCGTTGGAGTGCCACAGGGCAGCATCTTAGGACCTCTTCTATTTCTTATATATATAAACGATCTGCCTAATGTCTCTAATATTCTCAAACCTATATTGTTTGCTGACGATACTACCCTTATCTACTCAAACCTCAACCCACATACACTAAATAATGTTGTGAATAATGAATTAAAAAAAGTCCACTTATGGATGTCAACGAACAAAATAACATTAAACATCGAAAAGACTTAGTACATCTTATTTGGAAGCAAATCATCAAATGCAATTCAGCTACAGATAGACAACATTAACATCAGTAATAAAAATGATGGCAAGTTTCTTGGCCTATTCCTAGACAAGAGACTCAACTTCAGCACCCACATTCAACACATAACTAAGAAAGTCTCTAAAACAGTTGGTATACTCTCCAAAATCAGATATTATGTTCCTAACTCTGCTCTCCTCTCACTATATTATGCACTAATCTACCCCTATCTTAATTATGGTATCTGTGCATGGGGCTCTACCACTGCAAACCACCTTAAGCCCATCATCACACAGCAAAAATCTGCTATCAGAATAATAACTAACTCTGCTTTCAGACAACACTCAGCTCCCTTGTTTAAATCCCTAAACTTGCTAAATATTAACTCCCTCCACACATTCTCTTGTGTCAACTACATTTACAAAACCCTGTTCTTAAATGCAAACCATGCTCTGAAACTCTCCCTGGACAGATGTAATAGGACCCATTATCACCACACCAGAAATAAATATCTCTTTGATATCCCCTGGGTCAAACTTAATCTGTGTAAACACTCTATGCAAATTAAGGGACCTAGTCTATGGAACTCACTCCCTAGTGAATTGAAAAACTGTAAAACTTTTGCCTTATTTAAAAGCAAAACCAAAAAGTACCTAACTTCATCTTCTTAGTTTCCTACACTGAGCTTTAAATTTGCTCTGTACCTAGTGTTGCCCAATCTCCTAATTTTTATGTAATATCAAACAACCTTATCATTGTGTTCATTGCTGTCTTCTTTTATGTGCTAGCCATATGCTGTATTGTGACTACCAATTTTTGTCATCTACCATTCAAGCTGTCATTGCAATCAATCTTATTTTGTTTCTGCTGTATTGTGCCTACCAATTTGTTGTCAACTACCATTTTAAGTTGTCATTGCAATCAATCTTAGCTACCTATGTGCTTTAATATACTGTACCTACAATTTTCTCTCATCTTCTTTTTTTTTTTTTTTTTTTTATTTCATGTAATCTGTTATCATTTTTTGTCTATAAATTTTGCAAGTATTTACCTCCTTAAAATTTTCTTAGATTAAGGACCTGCCCGAAACGCTGCGCGTGCTAGTGGCTTTACAAGACTGTAATTACCATATTTGTATCCTCACATTCCTTATGTACATTCTTGTATATGCATAAATAAATAAATAAATAAATGAGATCATTCTGCTGCTCCCGAAGCCTGGGGATTTGTTTTTTTGTCGAATTGGCGACCTATTTCCTTGTTGAATGTTGACTATATGGCTGTGTCAAAGCTTTTGGAGGGTCGCTGTCGTGGTGTTCTTGGTTCTGTGTTCTCTGTCGAGCAGGTGTGTCGTGTTCCGGGTAGGTCCCTGATTCATTGCAATTCTCTTTTTCAAGATGTGCTCGTGTATACCTCGGAGTATCTCTTGTCAGCTGCAATGCTTAGTTTAGATTGGTCGAAGGCGTTCGACCAGGTATCGTTGGGCTTTGTGTTTCGAGCGTTAGAGTGTTTTGGGTTTCTACCATTGTTTGTTGCCTGGGTCCGCATGTTATGTGCTCGTTGTAGCAGTCATGTTTGTCTAAGTGGGTTTTTTAGTGCTCCCTTTCCTGTTTGCCGGTCCATGCGTCAGGGCTGTCTATGTTGCTTTATGTACTTTTACAGGAACCCTTCTTTCATGCAGTCAAAGCTTTTGCCTTGGTTGTTCCTCCTCGGTTGCCCTCTGGTCTTCGTTTGCCGATTTGTGGGTATGCTGACGATGTAGTGCTATTTGTGCTTTCCGAAGGTTCTATTGATGTGGTGCAGGATCTCATTCGGCGGTTTGAATTGGCCACAGGAGCCGTTGTCAATCGTGATAAATCTTGTTTGATGGGGATGGGTGGTTGGGCCTCCTGCCATGAGTGGGCAGGGTCATGGTTTCCGGTAGTTTCTTCCATTCGGGTTCTTGGGTTGACTTGGTTTAGCTCGTATGACCGCTCTTTGGATTGGAATTGGGATGCTGTTTCCTGTTCTGTTGGGGTTGCGATCGGGTTGTTGTCGGCACGTCCGTTGACATTTTATCAGCGGGCGCTGATTGTCACTTGTAAGGTCCTTTCCTTGGGTGTGGTTTGTGACTCGGTGTTTCCCCATGGATCGACAGCGGGCTCGGACATTGGAATGTCGGGTTTATTGTTATGTGTGGTGCGGGAGGTACCATCTGGTTCGCCTCTCTACATTGGTCTTATGTGTGAGGGAGGATGGGGGGGGGGTTTCATCCCGGACGTTTTTACCAAGGCCAGGGCCTTGTTTTGGGTCTCATTGCATCAGGGGTTGGTGTTGGATGGGGGTCTCAATGCATTGAGTGTCTTCTTTTGTTTGGTTGGTTTTAGTTACTTGGTGGATTTGGGGCTGGTCGCGAGGTTGCATTGTACACGCAGTTTCTGTTTCTCTGTTTTCCTCCGGGTTCCCGGAGGCTTCACAGTACTTTGAGTGTCTTGTTGCGGATTATGTGTATTGTATGTGGGTTGGGCGGCCTGAAGATTATGGGCTTGCTCGGGTTCTGGGGGAGAGGGGCTGCTGCGGTTTACCTGGTGGTGGTTGCGGCGTTCTTTTCCGGTGAATTTTTGTAGTTGGCTTACGGGTGCGTATGTTCGGGGTGATGCTCTGGGGCCGGTGGGGGGTTAGGTTGGTGGTTGGGGGGTGCTTGCATCTGGGCGTGGTTGGGGTGTTTGCTTGGTTTGGGGTGTGGGTTTGTTGGGTTCGGGTTGTTGGATTTCGGTTGTTAGTGTGGGTGGGTTTTCCTATTGTCTTCCCCCTCACCCTCCTTCGGCCCTCCTCGATGATTGGTGCGGTGGGTTGTGTGAGTGTTGTGTTCTTGTGCTGCTCCTGGTGTGTGCGTGCGCTGTTCTTCCCGGTTCCTGCGTGTTCCGGTGGATCTAGTTGTGTATGCATGTGTGTGTGGTGTGGGTGTCATTTCCCAGCTCCTGCGCTAGCCTGTGCTTCTGTATTTCTCGGTTGCTGTGTGTGCCGGTCTTCTTAGGGTTTCCGTGTGGCCTTTCTGGCTTGCCCTGTTCTGTGCTCCCTGTGTTGGTGCCGTGACTTGCTCTGTTACTGATTTATGTTATGTTATTCTTTTCTATTCCTCTTTATTATTGAATTTATGTGTCTGTTTTATATGGTGTGTGGCTTTCATGGTTTTTCTTTCTTGTTTTGTGCTTATTCATTCCCCTCTATTCTCATGTTTGTGGCTTACCGGTTCCTGCGCGTTCCGGTTGTGTGTGTGTTTGTGCGTGCCAGGTTTGTTCTTGTGTGTGTATCCCATGTGGATGGGTTTTCTCCTCCCCGATTCCGGCGTGTGCCGGTTTTTGTTTCCAGTGTGTGTGCTTGTGTGTGTGGGTCTGGTTTGTCTTTCCCGGTCTGTGTGTGTTCAAGTGTATATGGTACTTGCCCTGTGCCCAGTAGCGGCTTGTCTTTGTACATGTTTTCTGTGTTCTTTTCTGTATGTTTATTCCAATTTGTGTTTATGTTCTGTAAACTGTGCAAGGTTCAGAGCATTGTGCTATGTGTTTTCTACTTCATGTCTGTTTCATGTTCTATGTACAATGTTATTTGTCCTTTTTTGTATATTTTGTGTTTATTTTATAAATAAAGAAAAAACTTCGCCACGGGGACTGGCAATGACTGCCAATGTGTGTATTATATAGATAGGTTAGTGGAACTACACAAACACCTACTTAATGACAAAAAAAAAACTTCTATACATGTTGATGACCAAACCACACATCAGAAGATGGAGAAACTACGACGTTTCAGACCGTCCTGGACCAGTATAAAGTCGTATAATAATGACGACTTGATAATGGGTCAGATAGGACCGAAACAATATCGTAGTTTCCCTATCTTCTGATGTGTTGTTTGGTCACCATGTCTTTAGCTCCGTTATTGTGACTCATCGTTTTCTTTCCATGTTTAATCAGGCGATGTGATGTTATTGTGAGCGTGTATGTGAACCTGCCGTACACCGCGTCTGGAGCCAGGATAGTGAGGATTGCTTGGTGGACGGCAGCTCGTGGCCTCCTGCTCCCTACCTATCCTCTCTTCCCGGATAAGTTCAACAAGTATGAAGTTTCCACTAGAAATTACACAATACGAAATATAACTTGTATTGGTCCAGTTCTTACGAATGTCAAAAGAATAATATAACAAAGGCATTTATGAAAATATAAATCCCTATTAGTGAAAGATACATTTCACAAGAGTCGACCATTGCTGAGGGTCGAGAGAGACAAAACAAACTGAACAATGTATTATGACCTCAGGGTTCACATCTTGGAGTTGAGAGTGAACCCATAATTACCAGATTATGAGGCTGTTGGTACCTTGTCGTTTGGTACTTTCTTGTCCAAATTTGACGTATAACCTCCACCGCCTCCATTACCTTATGCCAGCACCAGCCTCAATTATTTGTCGACAGGCTTTTGTTCATATTTTCCAAAGCTGTGACACGAACTTTAGTGATCTTATATTTGTAGTGGTTGTATGGAGAAGACGTGGGTAGCTGTGAGGGAGGATGAGTAATTAAAGTGAGGCTGTTGGATGGGATGTCACTTTTGGCACAATGAGGCTCTAAACATACGAATTTTGTATATTAAACATGTAAGGGTCGATTACTCGTGCTCAATTCAATCTATCATGAATCATTTAACATTTTGTCCGTAAGCATCCATTATGTGCAGAAGAGCAGATGTGTTGCTATGGCAATTGTCGAACATGTCCTGAATAAGACAAGAGTCTGAGCATTATTTTGGTGTGGACAAGATGCATGCTAGGATGTCCTCGCTGTATTCACCAGCGAGGAAGCATTTCTGGAGGTGTCATGAAAAGCAGCTGATCAAGAGGAAGTCGATCCCTAAGCTGGGAAAACCTTAGACGTGAGGTGTCGAGAACTGACGTCACAGCGATCAGAAGAACATCAATGAGACTTGGGAAGTTCGGATAATTTATTTGAACACTTGGGAGTTTGGGGGGAAATTGAAGGTCTATTTCGAGAATATATCAACAGCGTTTTGTGCCTTGTCAAGGAAGAACGTGATATTCAGCGCTTAGTGTGCACTATGACTTGTGTAGCACAGGAGTTGACGGAACTACGTGCTTTGAGGGCTAAAGTGGACTATCACTGATAGGGGGCTATTTTCTTTAGGTACCTTGTGGCACTAAAGGAGGAGGCCAAGGCAAGGAAACTCATGGATTTCTTAAAAGCTCAGTGATATATCATTGGCTGTGAAAAAACTTTAATGTATATACTTTAAACATTTTATCAATGCTACAAGATGAGTAATTAAAAAGGCTCATTCACACATTCTAAACAACAGTTATGGCAAGAAATAGGCCATTAAAATTAAATAAGAGAAGTAACAGATTATGACAAAGAAATGGATGATAAATTAAATAACAGCCATATCCAAAAATGACGGTACTTATATCAACTATTTGATCGAACATGCGAAAATGATAGGAAAGTCACGGTCACATCACTACTGAGGAGGGTAAGTCACCCTCACATCACTACTGAGGAAGGTAAGTCACCCTCACATCACTACTGAGGAGGGTAAGTCACCCTCACATCACTACTGAGGAAGGTAAGTCACCCTCACATCACTACTGAGGAGGGTAAGTCACCCTCACATCACTACTGAGGAAGGTAAGTCACCCTCACATCACTACTGAGGAGGGTAAGTCACCCTCACATCACTACTGAGGAAGGTAAGTCACCCTCACACCACTACTGAGGAGGGTAAGTCACCCTCACATCACTACTGAGGAGGGTAAGTCACCCTCACATCACTACTGAGGAGGGTAAGTCACCCTCACATCACTACTGAGGAAGGTAAGTCACCCTCACACCACTACTGAGGAGGGTAAGTCACCCTCACATCACTACTGAGGAAGGTAAGTCACCCTCACATCACTACTGAGGAGGGTAAGTCACCCTCACATCACTACTGAGGAAGGTAAGTCACCCTCACATCACTACTGAGGAGGGTAAGTCACCCTCACACCACTACTGAGGAGGGTAAGTCACCCTCACACCACTACTGAGGAAGGTAAGTCACCCTCACACCACTACTGAGGAAGGTAAGTCACCCTCACATCACTACTGAGGAAGGTAAGTCACCCTCACATCACTACTGAGGAAGGTAAGTCACCCTCACACCACTACTGAGGAAGGTAAGTCACCCTCACACCACTACTGAGGAAGGTAAGTCACCCTCACATCACTACTGAGGAAGGTAAGTCACCCTCACATCACTACTGAGGAAGGTAAGTCACCCTCACACCACTACTGAGGAAGGTAAGTCACCCTCACATCACTACTGAGGAAGGTAAGTCACCCTCACATCACTACTGAGGAAGGTAAGTCACCCTCACACCACTACTGAGGAAGGTAAGTCACCCTCACATCACTACTGAGGAAGGTAAGTCGCCCTCACATCACTACTGAGGAAGGTAAGTCACCCTCACACCACTACTGAGGAAGGTAAGTCACCCTCACATCACTACTGAGGAAGGTAAGTCACCCTCACATCACTACTGAGGAAGGTAAGTCACCCTCACATCACTACTGAGGAAGGTAAGTCACCCTCACATCACTACTGAGGAGGGTAAGTCACCCTCACACCACTACTGAGGAAGGTAAGTCACCCTCACACCACTACTGAGGAGGGTAAGTCACCCTCACACCACTACTGAGGAAGGTAAGTCACCCTCACACCACTACTGAGGAAGGTAAGTCACCCTCACACCACTACTGAGGAAGGTAAGTCACCCTCACACCACTACTGAGGAAGGTAAGTCACCCTCACATCACTACTGAGGAAGGTAAGTCACCCTCACACCACTACTGAGGAAGGTAAGTCACCCTCACATCACTACTGAGGAAGGTAAGTCACCCTCACACCACTACAGAGGATGATAAGTCACCCTCACACCACTACTGAGGAAGGTAAGTCACCCTCACATCACTACTGAGGAGGGTAAGTCACCCTCACACCACTACTGAGGAAGGTAAGTCACCCTCACATCACTACTGAGGAAGGTAAGTCACCCTCACACCACTACTGAGGAAGGTAAGTCACCCTCACATCACTACTGAGGAAGGTAAGTCACCCTCACATCACTACTGAGGGAGGTAAGTCACCCTCACATCACTACTGAGGAAGGTAAGTCACCCTCACATCACTACTGAGGAAGGTAAGTCACCCTCACACCACTACTGAGGAAGGTAAGTCACCCTCACATCACTACTGAGGAAGGTAAGTCACCCTCACACCACTACTGAGGAAGGTCAGTTCTCGTCATCAGTCCAACAATGAACAATGATGTTCGTTGCTGCAGTGAACAATGTCTATGTTTTATATTATTCATTTTGGAGAGGGCACCACCAACAAAATTCTAAACGTTCCTAAGCCACGTATTAGGCCTAATACAACGTATATTACCCCCAGGATTACTTGAATTTGGTTGGGTTCTTTAATTTTTGTGTTTTCTTAGCATGCAGTTTTGGGCTAGTTCAATAATACAATTGTGATCTTGTTTAGGACCATAGTCCATTTTTGTACATTTAACCAAATAGTTGCATTAAGTACTATTATTATTTGAGGATGGCCTGCTAAATACATGCCTTTTAATCTGTATTTTTTGGAGAATGTGATAATTGACCTGCTTTTGAGAAATTTTATGTAGGTGGTGAAAAAGTCAGTACTCTCAACTTACCATAACGAACAGAACATGGTGTGGTAAAACACTCGAACCTAATCTAGAATTGCCTTTCGACCATATATAGAAAACGTGAATGTTTGTAAGCAGCTATGATTTATTTATACTACCCCATATTTATCCATGCCAGATATTAACATTAAAATGCGGTGTACTGTTCGAGAGGACAGATTGGGTAAAAAGGCAATATTTACTAGATTATTAGTTCGTTGCAATGGTACAGTAAGATGACAACTTCGATACACGCAAAAAACCTTCACCTCTTACAACTTATAATATAGTCAAGTTGCAATGTCTCGTAGTAGTGCATGAAATTCAAAGAGCCGCTGTCCATTAAATCTGAATTAGGCTGTTTATTTATGGGAAGCTTATTTTGGTACAAACAATTTAAGGCATAGATTTGAAGAGAAGTGTCAGTTCTTTGTATAAATGTATTCACCGTAGTGCACTGACTTGTATATCATTTTATAAACTGTTCCACATGTTTACTATTTGATTAAAGAAAACTATTTTCCTTTGACCTAAAACGTTTGCCTAAATTTTGAAAGCCATTAATTTTTGTTGGCGCTGTCTATTGATAATTACTTACTTGAAATCTCTGTAACTGTTGGTGCTCTAACTTTTCTTCCTAATGAACTGTCATGAACCGTTATCGCTTTAATTTGAATCAATCAGACCGTAAACAGTGCAACTGTTAGCTTCTTTAGGAATGTTCTTTGTAATGAACAATTAATTAATTTGCACTATTCACCTTTTGTGCTTAAAAAATAACATTACCTTACAGAATTTATAACAAAAATTATAATTAAGAATTTTTTTTAGTTTTTACGGAGCCACAGTCAACGTGACAGCTCTGCCATATAAACCATTCTGGAGCGAGGCGAAGGACCAAGGCTCTGGGGGTGTGACCAGGTACTCTGGCAGCGACGCCCAGATGCTCATGACCATAGCTGAGGCCCTCAACTTTACCTTTAATGTCCTTCCTGTGACCACCTGGGACCAGGTCCGTTTACTTTTATGTTGTACTTAGTATTGTCTCCTATGTTACAAAATTGACACGCAGACAACATGAAATTTGAAATAATAGTTTCATATTTTCATTTCAAGCAGTTTTTCCAACATTTGCTTCAGCTTTTACTCTCACGATGGAGCGCCGCCCTGCTCCTTATTGTCCTAGTTGCATTGTCCCTCTTACGGTCGTGCATGTCCTTCTTGAATGTCCTGACTTCCAGGACGAGCGTGTGTCTTGCTTTCCGACCGCCCCTCGCGGTCACCTGTCCCTCGATAGAATTCTTGGTGACTCGGATACTTTTGATATCGTTCGCCTTATGCGTTTTTGTTCTCGTATTGGGGGTTTTCAGGTAAATTTTGTCAGTCACAGATTTTAGAAGTAAGGAAGTTCTTATGAGAAAAATAATTTCCGAGACATAGAAGTTTGTTAAGGCCTTATGGGAGAAATTCAAATAACGTATGTAGCTCTTTAGGGCTTCCAGGAGAACTCTACGGACATATTTTACATGTTTTCAACTTACAAAATCGTCTATGTAAGCCTTAGTTATTCATATAAATTTAGAAAATCACCTGTGTAAGTCATGGTTTTCAGGGTTTCGTACATCACACCCCCCTCCCTCCCCCCTTACCTCGCAATCTCTCGCGTCACCTTTATTTACTTTACGCCCGGCCAGCCAGACCTCTTATCTTATCTTATCTTATCATAATATCTGGACCGTCCCTCCTCTCTCTCTCTCTCTCCTTTCATTCAGTTCAACTATTTTCCAACATCGTATGTTTGCTCCTTTTCATTAAGCAAGTCAGTTTTACACAAATAAATCATGTTAGTAAGCATGTTCTAGCTCACGTTCCCCCACCTTAGTCCCCTGTCGTATAATGAATACTATCATTCCAATCCCTCTAAAATTTAAAAATAATCATATTTCAAATGTAGTTCAATACAGTAATTTAGTTACCAAGCTCCAGCGCTTGTCCTCCGCCTTAGCTCTCTCTCGTATCTTCGTTAGTATCAGTCCAATTTCCCTGAAATTTTTACCCTCTGTATTTCAGGCACCGTAAATAAGATCAAAACAGTTACCAAGCTCCAGCGCTTGTCCTCCGCCTTAGTTCTCTCTCGTATCTTCGTTAGTAACAGTCCAATTTCCCTGAAATTTTTCTGTACCCTCTGTATTTCAGCCTTAGTTCTCCGTAAATAAGATCAAGTCAGTTATCAAGCTCCAGCTCTCGTCCCCGCCTTAGTTCTCCTTCGTATCTTTGTAAATAACCCATCAATTTCCCTAAAATTAAAAGCAGACATACTTCAAAGTTAGTAAATAAGATCAAGTCAGTTACTGAGCTCCAGCTCTCGTCCCCCACCCTCTTCCACCCTCAAGTCTTTGTAAATAACCCATCAATTTTCCCCTGAAATTTTTACCCTCTGTATTTCAGACATAGTAAATATGAAGTAAACAATTATAAAACTCTAGCTCTTGTCCTCTGTCCAAGTTCACTCCTGTAAATTCATTACTATCAGTCCAAATCCCCCTGAGATTTAAACACCCAACTACATTTTCAGACTTAGTAAATAAAAACCAGTTCAGTTATCAAGTTTCAACTCTTGTGCCCCAGCTTAGTTCATTTGTGCAAGTTCTTTATTTTCCAACTAAATCACCCTGAGATTTAAGATCACCTTATTTTCTAACGTAGTAAAATTAATCTGGACATTAGCCAAGCTCCATTTCCTCAGCCTTAGATCATCAGACATAAATATATTCGATCAAGTCCGTCTCCAACCTATCTGTTTATCAGAGTAATTACTCTTACCCTTTCCCTCCCTTACCTTCTCATCCCCAACGTATCAAAACCTTCAATAATCATACTGTATTTGCATATTTTCTCTATATTCAGCTGTGTTCTTCACATTTTGTCCATGTTTTCTGTGTTCACTCCATGTTCTTCAAATGTTCACAGTCCCATTCAGTTCATATTTTCACAAGTATCTCCATTTTTTCTGTAATCTTTCTCTTAGTCTCATTACTTTCTCTACAAATTCTAGTCATATTTTCTATGTTTTCATGTTCATCACATGTTCTCTTTACAACTTTTATACTCAATATTCATGCTAACTTCCATATTTTGTGTTCTTTGTCAATATTCATGTTCCTCTACAAGTTCATGTTCCTCACAAGATCACTTCGTTTTTCACCTTCACTTACATGTTTTCTACATTCTTTGTCATATTCTCCATGTTCTTCACAAGTCCATTGTTCATTCTTTGTAATCCCTATTCTCCTTATCATGTTTTCATGTTCTCTGTAAGTTCATATTCCCAGCATGTTCACTGTATTCATCAACTTTTCTTACATATGTTCTTTGCCATGTTCCCCATATGTTCTCTGGGTTTTTCCCCTTACATGTTATCTAACGTTCCTTAACTAAAAAAATCTTTCGCCAATCAACTAAAACATAGTCACTTTCGTCATTTCTCAACTAAACTTATTATCCAGTCAACTAAAAATAGTCAGAAATAGCCTCGTTCAACACTGTTCTTAACTAAAACAACCTTTCTCTTAGCTAAAAATTGTCAAAGGAAACTTTTTTCAGCACTTTCTTAACAGGCGCTATGTTTCATCAAGAAAAAATTGTCAAAGGAAACTTTCCAAAACTGTTCATAACTAGCTTTTATCCATCGTCAATCAACTAAAAATAATAACTTTCATCATTTCTTAACTAAACATATTCCCCATTCATCAGAAAATAACCGTGTTCATCATGTTTCATTGTCATTTCATAACTAAAATTATCTGCCAATCATCAGAAAAAGTCATGTTCATCATGTTTTGGCTTTTGCTCAACTAAAAGTATTCATCGGTCAACTAAAAATAGTTACTTCATCATGTTTCCTTGTCATTTCTTAACTAAAATATCACTTCTCTCATCTGAAAATAGTCATGTGTAGTCTCTTTCCAACACTGTTCTTAACTAAAACAGCCTTTCGCTTAGCTAAAAATTGTCAAAGGAATCTTTTCAGCACTGTTCATAACTAACTTTATCCATCGTCAAGTCAGAAAATATAGTCAAAGATATCTATCATCGTCGTTCTTAACTGACATTTATACTTTGTGGAGCACTAAAATAGTCAAATGTAACTTTTTCAGCACTTTCGTAAAAATTATATGTCGTCAAGTACGAAAAAAAAATAGTCAAAGGTGCTCTCCGTTACACCAAAGTTACTCTTCGATAAATCAAAGACGCTCTTCAATACATCAAGGACTTACTCAAAGACACCAAAGTTACACTCTAAGACATCCTTCGAGACATCAAAGACTTCCTTAAGACTTCAATGGGACTCTTCCATTCATCAAAGACATTCTCTAAGCCCTCAAAGTTATTCTCAGCACAATCAAAAGTTATTCCGAGACAACAAAAGTTATTCTCAGAACAATCAAAAGTTATTCCAAGACAACAAAAGTCATTCTCAGAGCTATCAAAATTATTCTCGGAGTCATCAAAAGGTATTCTCTAACTCACTTTGGTCATTAAAGTTAATTTCTATGTTATAAAAGTTTGTCTCAGAGACATCTAAAGTTAATCTTAGAGTTATCAAATGTAATCTCTAACTCTCTTTTGTTCATCAAAGTTGATCTCAGAGTTAGCAAAGGTAATCTCTAACTCACTCTCGTTCATCAAAGTTGTTTCAAAGACATCAAAGTTATTCAAAGAGCTAACAAAAGTTATTCTCAGAGTCACCTTCGTTCTTCAGAGAAACTTTCCAAAACATCTTTATTCATCAAAGTTATTCTCAGAGGCATAAAAGTCATTCTCAGAGCTATCAAACTTGTTCTCAAAGTCATCAAACTTATTCACAGAGTCATCAAAGTTAATCTAAGACATCATTTTTCATCAAAGATATTCTCTCTAAACCATCAATGTTCTTCTCTAAGACATAAAAGTTATTCTCAGAGTCACCTTCGTTCGTCAGAGAAACTTTCAAAACATCTTTGTTCATCAAACTTGTTTTCAAAGTCATCAAAAGTTAATCTAAGACATCTTCTTTCATCAAAGTTATTTTCAGAGACATCTAAAGTTATTCTCAGAGCTATCAAACTTGTTCTCAGAGTCATCAAATGTTATTCTCGAAGTCATCAAAGTTATTTTCAGAGACATCTAAAGTTAATTTCTATGTTATAAAGTTATTCTCAGAGACATCTAAAGTTAATCTTGGTCATCAAAGTTATTTTCAGAGACATCTAAAGTTAATTTCTATGTTATAAAGTTATTCTCAGAGACATCTAAAGTTAATCTTGGTCATCAAAGTTGTTCTCTAAACATCAATGTTGTTCTCCAAGACATCAAAGATGTTCTCAAAATCATAAAAGTTATTCCCAGAGCTATCAAAGTTAATCTCAGAGTTATCCAAAGATATTCTCATGTCCACAAAAGTTATTCCAAGAGACGTCAAAGTTGTTTCAAAGACATCAAAGTTAATCTCAGAGTTATCCAAAGACATTCTCAGAGACATCTAAAGTTATTCTCTAAGACATCAAAGTTGTTCTAAGAGTTATCAAAAGTTATTCTCAGTCATGATATGTTATTCTCTAACTCACTTCCATTCATCAAAGACATTCTCTAAGTCCTGAAAGTTATTCTCTAAGACAACAAAGTCTTTCTCAGAGCTACCAAAGATGTTCTCTAAATCATAAAAGTTAATCTTAACTCACCTTCGTTCATTAGAGAAACTTTCCAATCCATATTCGTTGACCAGAGTTATTCTCAGAGTCATCAAAGCGATCTCTAATTCATCTTCGTTCTCCAAAGTTGTTCTCTAAGACACCTTCATTCATCAAAGAAACTCTCCTTCTTCCATCATGTTATTCTTTAAGACATCTTCAGTCATAAAATTTTCTCTCCAAAATGTAACTAGTTCAGCTTTTCATACCAAACCTGCATTTCTGTTAAAACATATTTTCTTAGTTGCTTTACCCTAAAACTGTTCTCTGAACTACACTGTTC